TATATTCTAAACTAACAAGATATGTTTTTACAGTCTATAACGAAATTTAGTTAACCTTTAAGCTGTCCTGGATTCTGCTGCACTGTAGAATGCTTGCGAATGATTGTGGCTGTTTGTAATTGTGAACCAATGACGAAGCATTTCCTTAAGAATGCGAAGAAAACCCTTCGCAATTGTGAAGAAATTCTTTTGTAGCCTTGCAAAGCAGCAAAATCCTCCACAAGGCATTATCATTTTAATGCAACTTCAAAGCTGAATTTTTATTTTGTTTGCATTTTTGTAGGAGTCAGCTACGAGATTTTACTATATTGTGAAATCAATATAATAAGCTAATGAAGTTGCTGTTTTAAGCTGCATCTTTTTCAAGAGGGGCAAATACGCGATGACTGCCCCGAGTGATAAAAAGTCATTTCCTGCAGCTACGACGAGACCGGGGAGGTGGTCGCCGAAGACGCTCAGCGGTCGCTCGCAGATGGCCCCATGATGGGTCTTTCTGTACTCGTCAACTCCAACATATCCGATTACTTCTATCCGCTACTGCCAACCACGGGCGTTAAGGTGCGAAATTTGGTGCAAATGAGCTTTCCCTAGAAAGAATAAACATGACGACGCGTCCTGACCACAATTTGCTATCTGCTGAGTTAAAAGTTGACATTGTGAGACCTGTTGTAGATCGGGCTTTTAAAAAAGGCGATTCTCCATAGTTACGACACAATTGTTAGAACGTGTCGATAAAAGAAAATTGTCGTTCTTAATTCATATTTTCCGGGTAAAAAATCAAGGAAGCTTTCAACGGGTGCTCTTTCCCTGCAGTTGCTGGTGTTCAACCCCAACGACTACCCCGACACGGCGAGCGGCGGGCTCATAGAGAAGCTCGTCATGGCGCAGGAGGAGGTGTTCTTCACGCTCAGCTCCGTTACCACCAAGCCGACGGCGGAGGTCGTGGGCCTGAGCAAGGAGCGCCGCGGTTGCCTATTCAACAACGAGAAGATTCTCTTCTCCAACTTCTATTCGTACTCGGACTGTCTCATGGACTGCCGCGTGCAGTCCATGCGCAACCTGTGCGGCTGCCTGCCCTTCTACTCGCCCGTCAAGGGCAAGGAAGGTAAGGAGAGGCTGGAGAGGAAGCCACCCCCACCTTAAGAATTCGGCCGCCTCGAGAGGAGGGACAAAAAAGAGGGGTGCGGAGAGAGAGAGGCCGAGAGTGGGGTTGGGGTTGGAAGGTGGGAGAGAGGGTAGGGGGGGTTAGGGACCTTAAACTCGTGGAGGCGACGCGAGGCGACGCTTGGATTTCGGGCCTTTGTGTTTGCCTTCTTTGACATCGCACACTGCGCGGCGTGAGGGTGAATAATGAAAGAAGGATCTCGAGGCGAGAGAAGAGCGCACGCGAGAGCGAGAGATAGAGAGAGGGAGAGAGAGAGAGAGAGAGAGAGAGAGAGAGAGAGAGGTAAAAAAAATCACGGTGCTGGTCGATCAGTTTTTTTAAACAGTCTTCATTCCCTCGCTCCCCTCTTTAAATTTCCTCTCCTTTTTCGTGGCGTCAATAAGATTATTCCCTTGTGTGTTCGCAGAAGACACGAGGGTCTGTGAGATTGGCGACTTGCGGTGCCTCAACAAACATACCGGTATGTGACCAGCGCGCAGCCAGTATCGAGCGTCATCCCACTTGAACTCACCTGCAAACAGAAAGACAGAGGAACACGTTAAATATGAACGGATACACAGCGATAAAAATCAAAAAGGAAATTGAGTTGTGGGTTAATTAAATTATACTAAATACACAATGTGATGGTTGTAAAAACTGCTGCCGGCCGACAGTAGGGTCATTGTTTTTTGTTGTTGTTTTTTTGACTAATGTAACCTCAAGTTCATTTTTTTCAGAGATGTGGCAGACTCTACGGCCGCGGCAGGACCTCCCAGGCTTGGAGCTAGAGATGACCCAGTCACTAGAGTGCAACGAATGCTTCCCGGCCTGCGGCGACACGGTGTACCACGTGGAGACCACCAGCATGCCCCTGCAGCAGGTGCTCATGGACCACTCCAACTTCCTGTGAGTACAACAGAGACCACGAGAGAAAATAAAAAGTGTGTGTGTGTGTGTGGGGAAGGGGCCCACTGTAAAAAATATGTGTCGGAAAAATCCCATAAATGTGTCTGAAGCAAATTACATATACAGTGTGTAGGATTTTTCCTATACGACTGTGTGGGGAAAATCCCATACGCGTGCAGCAGATCTACGAGACAAGTGTAGGATTTTTCCTATACGAGTGTGTGGGAAAAATCCCATACGAGTGCAGCAGATTTCCTTGACAGGTGTGGGATTTTTCCCGTACGAATTTTTAAAGGGAAAAATGATATTTTGGGGGCTGTGGACTCGGATTCTACTCTTACTGCACCCTCACTCCTCGTAATTTACATTTAAGTTCACAATTCTATTTACTAAATACTTTACCGGACGCGGAGTTGAACCTCGGACTTCTGGGTTGCGATGCTGCCACGCTGACCACTAGACCACGGGGACTTGTTGGGAGAGAGGCCGTAGCGTCCCCGGGTCATCCCAGAGCCGCGCGGCCGGCCCCACCTGGCCATTATTAGAGGCCAGGTGCGGGCGGCGGCCATCTGCCCTTTGCGTAAGGGATTTCTAAATGCATGTTTTGATTTCGGGAATGATATTAAACTCTGTGCCCTTATATTTTGATATATTTCATTTCTCTTGAGAAGCACTCTCGACACAATATGATTCCTTTGAGGCCACAGCAGGACAACGAGACTGCTGAATAATTGTACCCAAGCAGCAGGACTGATTTGTCCAAAAATCATGATCTGTAATTTTCCTGTTGCGTTGTCGGAAGTTTTCAAGATAAAAATAGCAAAATTCCCACACTTGTATGTGAGAAGTTCTTCCTAAACACTCGCAGGCATTTTGCCACAAAAGTGTGGGATTTTTCACATACATATCGGTTTTTCCCTATACAGTATTTCGTATATAGTAAAAATCCTACACATGTGTAGAAAATTTCGCGTCCCACACGCGTATGGGATTTTTCCTACACACTTGTATGGCAAAAATCCGAACATTTTTTACAGTGGGGGCGGTGTCCGAATACTACGCTGAGAGAGAGAGAGAAAGATAGAGATAGGAGGGGGATTTTGTTTGTGTTCGGGCCTGGTGTCCCCCAGGGGTACTCCTTCAGAGGCCCCGACCCAACAAATCGATACTTCCGCGTCCCTTTACTTTGAGGTTTCAGCACCACGCAGTTTCCTGCGCTATCCCGGTTACAGTACTTTACATTCCAACGGGTTGCCGCGAAAATTCTTGGTAGGTGTACAGTATGAAGAGCTATTGTTTTATCATCTAAAGGGAGCCGGCTGCAACCTGAGGCACAGATACGATGGGAAATCATACACCGTGCCGAGCAGGTAGGGGGGGAGATG